ATTTATATAATCTCATGTATTTTAATTTAAAAAAAATAAAAAAATATGATGAAAAATTGAAAAAAAATACATGTTTTTGACTTTTACTTGAAAAATCTTTTACTCATCTACAAAAGCGAATGAAAAAAACTGCTAAATAGATTCAAAATTTTGTCCTGAGTTTAAAAATACCTAGTGTTTACGTGCTTTTTTGCTTTTTTTTGCATGTTATAGGGCTATAGGTACAAGTAGGATATTGCGGTTTCAAAACATAAATTTTTAAAATTTATCAATAGTGACATTGTAACACTATTATCTGTCATAAATCTCTGAATAACACCCCACATGTACCTATTTTTTTTAAAGTAGACAACCCAGGGTATTCAATATGGGGTATGTCCAGTCTTTTTTAGTAGCCACTTAGTCGAAAACACTGGCCAAAGTAAGCATTCATATTTGTTTGTGTGTGAAAAAAGTAAAAAAACTAAATTGAGCGCTAATTTTGGCCAGTGTTTGTGACCAAGTGGTTACTAAAAAAGACTGGACATACCCCATTTGCAATACCTTGGGTTGTCTTCTTTTGCAAATGGTATGCCATCATGGGGGTAATTCTCATTCCTAGGCTACCATACGCTCTCAAAGGCAACGTAACCAACCTGGCCATTTTCAATGTAAAATTATTTGACCCATATATTTGACCTTGTAACTTTCAAAAATGCTATAAAACCTGTACATGGGGGGTACTGTTTTACTCGGGAGACATCGCTGAACACAAATATTAGTGTTTAAAAACTGGAAAATGTATCACAACAATTATATCATCAGTAAAAGTGCTGTTTGTGTGTGAAAAATGCAAAAAAGTAACTTTCACTGACAATATCATCGCTGTGATATGTTTTACTGTTTTGAATCACTAATATTTGTGTTCATTGAAGTCTCCCGAGTAAAACAGTACCCCCCATGTACAGGTTTTAGAGTATCGTAGAACGTTACAGGGTAAAATACAGTGCTAGCAAATTAAATTCTCTGGAATTTCGGCCTGGGTTGGCAGGCAGGTCCCTCAAATTGCAATCAATAAAATTACTGAATTATGTAAAAATATTACATAAATACGCACGTAGAATTTAAATATATATGCATATTTATATATTTGAAATCTACGTGTATATTTATATAATTATTTATGTAATTTTGTATATGGACGTATGTATATTTCTTATTTTTATATACATAGATATATATACAAATTCATTCTAAGTGTATTTTGATATAAATATATATATATTAATTTTAAAATACAGTTAGAATAAAATTTCATATAACTATATAATTTTTTTTTAATTTTTTATTATTTAAAATTTTTTTTATTTAATTTAAATTACTTATTTATATTTTATAATAATATATATATACAATATATATAGATATTATATATATACATGTGTAATTTAATTATAAGTGTATTTTTATATTAATGTAAGTACATATTAATATAAAAATACATAGTATGACATTATATATATATATGATATATAGACATATATTATATAGATATAATATATGTCTATATATCATATATACACATATATAATTTTTTTTTATTTTTAATTAACATTAACTTTATTTTTTTTTCTGATTTTACACTAGCAGGGAGACTGCCTGTCAGCACAGACAGTCCCCCTGCAGGCAGCACTATGGACACCTATTGTGACCATGTGATCGCTGTGTTAGGCGATCACATGGCCACAGGGGTCCTAATTCAGTGTGGGGAGACTGTCTGCGCTGCATTCAGTCTCCCCACAACCGGAGCCACGCTGATCGCCGCCGGGGGAACGACGGCGATCAGGTAAGTAGCTCAGACCGTTAGGACGGTTCAAGACCGTCATCGGTCGGCAAGCCAAAAATGCCGATGACGGTCCTGAACCGTCCTGGGTCGGGAAGGGGTTAACCAACATTCAAGTAGGGGAGCATTGGGGAAATAGTGATCATAATATGGTAAATTTTGAAATAAACTCAAAAAAGCAAAAGCAAGTGGGGTATACTAAAACATATAATTTTAAAAAAGCCAATTTCAATAAGATTAGGGCAGCTCTACAACATATCGACTGTCATAAACTCCTTAGTGATAAAAACACTGAGGATAAATGGAAACTATTCAAACAAATATTAGAAAGGTACATTTCTCAGTATGTACCATTGGGTAATAAAAATAAAAGAAACAAATTAAAACCAATGTGGCTTAGTAGAGAAGTAAAACAAGAGATTAAAAATAAGAAAATTGCATTTAAATCAGAAAAATCAGAGGCATCCTATTTAAGATATAAGGAAGCCAATAACGCTTGCAAAAAGGCAATTAAAGTGGCTAAACTAGAAAATGAGAAATTGATAGCTAAAGAATGCAAAACCAACCCCAAATTTTTTTTCAAGTACATCAATTCTAAAAAAACAAAAAATGAAAGTGTAGGTACACTGGAAACAGAGTTGGGTTTATTAGCTAATGAAGACCAGGAAAAAGCAGACATTTTAAATAACTATTTTTCTTCAGTATATATTAATGAGGATCCTATGGCAAGAGATATGCAAATGATTGCTGAAAAAAACTTGCAACTAACTTGTGATTGGATAACTCGAGACAAGGTGCTAAAGCTATTAAAGAAAATTAATGTAAATAAAGCTCCGGGGCCTGACGGTATTCACCCACGAGTACTTGAGGAGCTAAGTGGGGAAATAAGTGAACCTCTGTATTTAATTTTTCAAGATTCTTTTGTTTCAGGTGTTGTACCGGAGGATTGGAGGAAGGCAGATGTTGTTTCTATATTTAAAAAGGGGTTCAAAATCCTTGCCTGGAAATTATAGACATGTGAGCTTAACTTCTGTAACTGGGAAAATATTTGAAGGGCTACTAAGGGATAATATTCAGGAATTTATAGGGAAGAACTTTGTTATTAGCAATAATCAGCATGGTTTTATGAAACATAGGTCATGTCAAACTAACCTAATTGCATTCTACGAAGAAGTATAGATCAGGGTGTTGCAGTGGATGTGATCTACTTGGCTTTTGCCAAGGCATTTCATACGGTTCCTCACAATAGGTTGGTCTTCAAACTAAAAGAAATTGGTCTAGATTAATATTCTTGTTCTTGGGTAGAACATTTACTTAAAGGACCACTCTAGGCACCCAGACCACTTCAGCTTAATGAAGTGGTCTGGGTGCCAGGTCCAGCTAGGGTTAACCCATTTTTCATAAACATAGCAGTTTCAGAGAAACTGCTATGTTTATGAATGGGTTAAGCCTTCCCCTATTTCCTCTAGTGGCTGTCTCATTGACGGCCACTAGAGGCGCTTGCGTGCTTCTCACTGTGATTTTCACAGTGAGAGCACGCCAGCGTCCATAGGAAAGCATTATGAATGCTTTCCTATGTGACCGGCTGAATGCGCGCGCAGCTCTTGCCGCGCATGCGCATTCAGCTGACGGGGAGGAGAAGAGGAGGATCGGAGGAGGAGAACTCTCCGCCCAGCGCTGGAAAAAGGTACGTTTTAACCCCTTTCCCCTTTCCAGAGCCGGGCAGGAGGGGGACCCTGAGGGTGGGGGCACCCTCAGGGCACTATAGTGCCAGGAAAACGAGTATGTTTTCCTGGCACTATAGTGGTCCTTTAAGGATAGAGTACAATGAGTTGTAATTAATGGTAAATTTTCAGACTGGACAAAAGTGGTAAGTGGTGACCCTCAGGGTTCTGTTTTGGGACCACTTCTATTTAACATATTTATAAATGATCTTGAAATAGGCATTGAAAGCCATGTATCAGTGTTTGCAGATGACACAAAACTTTGTAAAGTAATAAAATGTGAGCAGGATATTGCTTTGCTGCAGAGGGATTTAGATACATTGGGGGACTAGGCACAAAAATGGCAGATGAAATTTAACATAGAGAAATGCAAAGTTATGCACTTCGGGGTTAAGAATGCACAAACAACTTACACACTAAATGGTAGTGAATTAGGGATAACCACACACGAGAAGGATTTGGGAATTGTTATTGACAGCAAATTAGGCAGCAATATGCAATGTCAATCTGCAGTTGCTAAGGCCAGTAAGGTTTTGTCATGTATTAATAGGGGCATAAATTCTCGAGATGAAAATATAATTTTGCCTCTTTATAAATCGCTGGTAAGACCACACCTTGAATATGCTGTGCAATTTTGGGCGCCTGTTCTAAAGAAAGATATCATGGCACTAGAAAAAGTCCAGAGACGAGCTACAAAATTGATAAAAGGAATGAAGCATTTTAGTTATGAAGAAAGGTTAAACAAATTAAATCTGTTTAGTTTGGAAAAACGGCGCCTGAGAGGGGATATGATAACTTTATACAAATATATTCGGGGCCAGTACAAACCTTTATCTGGAAATCTATTCATAAACAGGGCTGTACATAGGACACGAGGTCACACATTTAGGCTGGAAGAAAGGAGATTTCATCTAAGGCAAAGAAAAGTTTTTTTTACAGTAAGCGCAATAAGGATATGGAATTCTCTGCCTGAAGAATTAGTGGGGTAATAGCTGCTTGATCCAAGGAGACATCTGACTGCTATTTAGGGGTCAAGAAGGAATTTTTTTCCTAGTTTGTGGCAGACTAGGTTTTTTTTTTTCTTTTGGATCAACAGCAACAACATATGTGAGGAAGGCTGAACTTGATGGACACAAGTCTCTTTTCAGCTATGTAACTTTGTAACTGGTTTTCTACTTTGCTCTCCTGGGATTCCTTCAAAATGTATGAATTGGATCCTTATACTCGCCTTGTTTCCTGCATTTCTCCATTGGGCTTCAAATAATTCCAACTCAGCTAAATTAACTATTTTGCACTCAGCTACATCCAGCCAGTTTACCTGCCTCTATTCTGTGTTCTTTCCACATGCAGGAATCACTGACTTGACTCAAGATTTGGGTACATCTCCATTCTCTGTTACTTTCTGACATTTGAACAATCTGCTATAAACTTTGTTTGTTTCCCTACTAATAAGGTGCACCTATTTAATTTAGCAAGTACTGCTTTCTTTTTCACTTTATATTGTTCAAAATCAGGTTCTGACTTTAGACTGTCTGATTTCAAAAGTACTTTCATCTTTATTTTATTAATTTTTTGCCAATAATATTCTTTGCAATCTGATGTACTCTTTTCCTACTTAAAGGATCACTATAGGGTCAGGAACCGTAATATGTATTCCTGATCCTATAGTGTTAAAACCAACATCTAGCCCCCCTCATGCCTCAAAAAATATAGCAAAATCTTACTGTATTCAAACCTGAAGCTGTAGATCTGCATGCTGTTTGTCTCAGAAAAAAACAATCAGTTTGCTGACATTATCAAGAGTCGTGGCCTGATCCAATCACAATGCTTCCCCATAGGATTGGCTGAGACTGAAAGGAGGCAGGGGGCAAATGTTTGTTTTTTTGCAGTTGACTCACTAAAAATAAAGAATCAAAATATAAACTACATCAAATCGTAAACTACATTAATCCATCTTGAAATAAAGTCATCGGAATTAATTAAAAACATTTTTTCTCTTGTCATAAGTAATGTAGAGTTTTTCATATTTTCTACATTTCAATATGTTGGAGGTGTCTGTTTCCATTCAAGTTATATACTGAACTCTTGTGCTGTTTTTTATAACACCAAACTGCCATGATTGTTAACAACAAGAGTAAACAAATGATAACCACAATAATGGCAATCAATTGACCTTTAGAGCCTTGCAAACATTCATCTCCTAGACATGGCTGAACTGTAGAGACCATTTGTTTTCCTTCTGAGATGTCTTCTTCAAATGTCTTAAAATTCTGGCCAGCAGTAAACTCTATTTCCGAGGGAGTTGACTGTATAAGTAGGTCATAAATGTTTGCTAATAATATAGTCGAGTCTACGTTTACTTTATGGTAATCTACTGTGGGAATGGACTCTGTAGCATCATGAACAGTTGGTAACATAGATTCATCATCTATAAATTTTAGATTGCTAGTGTGATATCCCATACTACTACTGTCATTATTTACTTCATCAGAGTTTCTGTTTTCAGGAACAATGGTTGATTCAGGTTGTACTACTGCTTGACTGTTGCCAAGCGTTGTTGGTGTTGGGAAAGCTGTAGCTACGCCATTCAAATCTGTGTTAGCAGAAAGTGCAGTTGAATCAATGTTACTTAATACAGTTTTAAACGTTATCAGGGAAATGTCTTCTGTTTCCACAGAACCATCAATACTTTGAGTAGTAACTCGAGTAGTATAGCCATTTAAAAAAGAACTGTTTGTGTTTTCAGATACATTTTTGTTGGCTTTGGTATTATTTTTCTTTTCTGAAGTATACATTGGATGATCTTTGTAAGTCATATGTTGGCTGTTTACATGATCATGATTATCAGTTTGTATTCCCATGTATTTGATATTATTTAAATGTGTTTTAGTGATATCATGCTGCTCCATCTCAGATTTAATCCCACTAATGACTTCTGGAGAAAACCAAAAGAGATGCGTTTGACTTAATGAAAATGGAGCTTTTGTTGGTCTCTTATTTGCTTTTTCTATAGATGTTAGGTCTCTTGCATCTTCCAAATGGGCCTTTTGTTCATTATGAATGTTAAGAGACAACTCATGTTGCTCATTGTAGCCATCATCATAATCTTCCTCTTCATTATATGATTCAAAATCTGGTACATCTTTATCGTCATTTAAATTGTCCTCATAGTCAATAAATGTTTCTGTCTCATCTGAAATGCATTTAGAAATAAAATCAATATAACAAACAAATTAAGCAGAAGAACATATATAGAGTCCAATAAACTGTATATTGCGTACTCAAATACTTGAACATTGGCAACATGGTGAATATATCAAACTGAGCAGATGTAACAAATTCCCAAAATTCAGCATAGATACTGTCACAGAAGCTCCAGTGCCACAGCCTGCTAGAGAAGCATTACAGCTAGCCTCCTGCCCACAGACTATGTGCCTGGTCACAGACTTTAAAATGATATATATGATATGGGGGTACATTGTATTAATGTTGAGTTACTATGTAAAATGTTGAGCTGGATAAAAGCTATTATGTTAATTGTATTATATAAAAGCTATTGAGCTATGTGTATTGGTGACCCAATTATGTCCAGACTTCAAGGCCACTTATGTGTGACTTCTGTAAGGTGACCACACCTTACAGAGTAGCTCAGTTCATATATGCACGAACATAACTTTCATTTTACTGAACAGATCTGGATATGCTGTGCTCAGTTTAGGGCTATTCAGGAACATAATTTTTGTGGGGTTCTGATGCTGTTGTCATTTAGTTTTGTGATGTGTAAAAATTGTATTTAAGTTTTCCTATTTGAGACATAATTGGATTATCTTAATTGGAGCTCAATTATCTCTCAAACACAATGGCTTATGGGAAGGGAACCCCTTTGATTTTGTATTAGAAATCCAATGTTAGGGGCACTGCATAAGAAGCCGAGCGTGGCCTAATAAAATTCAGATTGCTGCTTTAACCCTTATACAACTGGTTGCGTCCATTATATTGGGGAAACTCTACACAAAGGGAATACTTTCACTATATTCAGCACATCTGGAATTAGGACTAGTGAAGGATTGAAGGAATAACCGCAATAGACTCACAAACCCATGACAGATACATTATCCATTATCGACATAAAGTGATGCTAATTTTAAATTAGTTACTGAAATTTAATAAGTAATGCTGGGTTAGGTGGTTTACAAATCCCTCAATCCAGGAAAGAGTGGTAGGTCAGGGTTACAAAAGCTCATATGCCTTAATACAAATCTCTCACATGGATTTCAAGATCAGAGACAACATGGGTTTACTTAAGGGGGATCAAACTAATCCTTTTGTTTTTTTTGATTGGGTAATTAAAATAATAGGGTGGTGCCAGTGACGGATCCAGAGCCTGATCTCGGGAGGGGCACTTGTAGATTATTTAAATAAATAATCCAGACACAATAACCACTACAGCTCAGTGTAGTGGTTATGGTGCCAATAGTGCCGGGACCCCCTCCCAGAGTAAGTAGTCAAACCGTTTAAGAACAGTTTGACAACTTACCTGAGGTCTGAGGGCTGTCATAGGGCATAGGAGCAGTGGTATGTGTGAGGGGTGCAGTGTGTGTGTGTGAGGGGGACAGTGTGTGAGCAGTGTGTGTGTGTGAAGGTTGCAGTGTGTGAGTGAGGGTGGCAGTGTATGTCAGGGGTGCAGTGTGTGTGTTACGGGGCAGTGTATGTGTGGGTCAGTATGTGGGTGTGACAGTTGCAGTGTATGTGTGTATGAGGGGGCAGTGTATGTGTAGGGCAATGTATATATGGGGGGCAGTGTATGTGTAGGGCAATGTGTGTATGGGGACAGTGTATGTGTAGGGCAATGTGTTTTGGGGGCAGTGTATGTGTGTGGGGGCAGTGTATGTGTGTCTGGGGGCAGTGTGTGTGTATGGGGGGCAGTATATGTGTGTGAAGGGGAGGGGCAATGTGTGTGTCTAGGGTGTGAGTGTGTATCATATGAAAAGGCTAGGGGGGGCTTTTTTATAATATGCTTTTTGTTTTAAAATTTAATTAAAATAAATATTCATTATGTCCCTTCTTACCTTTATTGGGGAGAGAGGGGACATTTCTCCATCTCTGGTGGTCCAGTGGGAATCCCTGGTGGTCCCAGTGGTTAGAGTGAACTCTAGCCCATAGCTCCAGGGCTAGAGTTCACTCTCGCGAGATTTAGAGCGTTGCCGTGGAAACTGCGGCAACGCTCTGTGCTCGCGAGAGGAGGACCCGGAGGAGCTGCAGGCTGAGCTCCCGGGTCCTCTCTCCCTCCCTCCCCTGCCGGCTGCCAGCATATTGCCTGCGGACAGGGAAGGAGGGAGATCTCTGATTTCCCTCCCCGGTCCGCAGGCACATTGCAGGGCTAGCGCCTGCATGTGCTGACGGGAGAGGGAGACCCTCGGTTTTCTCGGGGGGGGGGTATTGCCCCGTTGCCGCCCCCCCGGATCTGCCACTGGGTGGTGCAGTAGACATTGCTTACCTAGATTTCAGTAAGGCTTTTGACACTGTTGCACATAGAAGGCTTATCAATAAACTGCAATCTTTAAGTTTAGATTCCAATATTGTTGAATGGGTAAGGCAGTGGCTGAATGACAGGCAACAGAGGGTTGTAGTCAATGGAGTATATTCGAAGCATGGGCTTGTCACCAGTGGGGTACGTCAGGAATCTGTACTTGGACCCATTCTCTTTAATATTTTCATTAGTGATATTGCAGAAGGTCTTGATAGTAAGGTATGTCTTTTTGCTGATGATACTAAGATATGTAACATGGTTAATGTTAAAGGAGGGATAAGCCAAATGACAAATGATTTAGGTAAACTAGAAAAATAGTCAGAATTGTGGCAACTGACATTTAATGTGGATGAGTGCAAGATAATGCATCTTGGATGTAAAAACCCAAGGGCAACGTACAGAATATTTGAAACCGTGCTAACCACAACATCTGAGGTAAAGGATTTAGGGGTAATTATCTCAGATGACTCAAAGGTAGGCAGACAATGTAATAGAGCAGCAGGAAATGCTAGCAGAATGCTTGGTTGTATAGGGAGAGGTATTGGCAGTAGAAATAGGGAAGTGCTCATGCCATTGTACAGAAACCTGGAGACCGTATCTCCAGAAGGATATTGATACTTTAGAGAGAGTTCAGAGAAGGGCTACGAAACTGGTTCATGGATTGTAGGATAAAACTTACAAAGAAAGGTTAAAGGATCTTAACATGTATAGCTTGGAGGAAAGACGAGACAGGGGGATATGATAGAAACATTTAAATACATATAGGGGGATCAACACAGTAAAGGAGGAGACTATATTTAAAAGAAGAAAAACTACCACAACAAGAGGACATAGTCTTAAATTAGAGGGGCAAAGGTTTAAAAATAATACTAGGAAGTATTACTTTGCTGAAAGGGTAGTGGATGCATGGCATAGCCTTCCAGCTGAAGTGGTAGAGGTTAACACAGTGAAGGACTTTAAGCATGCGTGGGACAGACATATATCCTAGATATATAAGATAAGCCCAGGGACTAATGAAAGTATTTAGAAAATTGGGCAGACTAGATGGGCTGAATGGTTCTTATATATGCTATGTTTCTATATTCTTTCAATTGGGGACCAAGGGATGTCCAGTCCCATAACATGTAAATGGAGGCATATTCAGATATAGACATCCTCTAGTTTCTTTTTGGAAGAATCGTGGAGCTGTATTAGGGCCAGAGGATTTGGTATCCTCTGCCCATGCATTACTTATTACTCACTGATCCACAGGCCATTGGGTTGATCGTCATTGGACCTCTATCTATTCATTAAATGGACATTCTAAGCACCAAAACAACTTCACCTTAGTGCAGTGGTTTTGGTGTATATATCATGCTCCTGTGTAATTGCTCAATTCTCTTTTCCAAAGAGATTTAATCATTTTGTGTATGCAGCCCTAGCCATACCTCCCCTGGCTGAGACACATTTTCTATTAAATAAATGAATAAAATTGAAGGGCTAATGTTCCATGTTGCAGATATTATGAACAGATTTAAAGTATTAAACCAACCCTTAGATCAAGGATTGTGGCTTTGGTTTATCTCAGTGGGCAATTTATATAAATGGTATTGAAATCAGTGGCAGAAAACCTGGGTTCTCAGAGGTATTCTGCATTTCACAAGGGGTTCTGTGCCAGTAGTGAGGCCAGAGTGCGCAAGCTGGGAGTGCCCATCAGGTACCCATGAACTTAGAGCCACCCGATAGGTATGTTTGATCAGAGGCCCCTTGTGGACGCCGGTCCCTGTCAGATGAGCAATTTGGCCTTGGTGCTGGGAAAATTTTAAAAAGGGTCACTTCCTCCCAGCTTTCAGAGCCCCAGAGGGAAGGAGACTGAACAGAAGCCAAAAACTGGAGGGGAGAGAACCTGGAGAGTCATCAACGCAATAAAATGCAAATACTACATACAAACATATCACTGTATTCAAATGCCAACATTATATACAAGCACATCCCCGCATTCAAATGCCAACAATACATACAAACACTACACACAAATAAACCACTGTAACCAGCGCTGTATTTAGCGCAAGGCTGACAAAGCATTTGCCTTGGGTGGCACTTCAGGGGGCAGCAAAAAAAGCCACCCCCAATCACCCTGGAAGATGCCTTGCCAGCCTCTTGTCCTGGGGGGCCCAGGAGCTGGCCGGCTGGTCACCTCAGGGCCCCCACGAGGATGGCATCTGATGTAGGAGGCGGGCGGCGAGGGAGCACTCTCCCCTGAGCTCTTCCTCCTCAGTGATGCCGGAGCCGGAATATGACGTCACTCCGGCATCACTAAGAGGCGCACGAGGGAGCTGAGCAGGAGGATTAGAGCTCCCTTGCTGCCTCCACTGTGTGCCTGTCTCCCAGACCGCCTGCCCGTGTCTTCCAACCCAGCCCCACTGGACCCCATGGAAGAATACAATCCCACACCTTAAAAAGTAATGATAGTAAAAAATATTGTGAGTGTGTTTGTGTATTAGTGAGTGTGTGAGTGAGTGTGTTAGTGTGTCTGTTAGTGAGTTTGTGTGTCTGTCACTGAGAGTGTATATGTGTTTGTCACTGAGTGTGTATGTGTGTCTGTCAGTGTGTGCGTCTGACAGTGTGTTTGTGTATCTGTCACTGAGAGTGTGTGTATGCATGTGTCAGTATGTGTATGCGTGTTACAGTGTGTCTGTCACAGAGAATATGTCTGTCAGTGAATGTGTATGTCTGTGAGTGTGTGTGTGTCTGTCAGCTAGTGTATGTGTGTCTGTCAGTGAATGTGTGTGTCTAACACTGTGCGTATATATCTCTGTCAGTGAGTGTGTATGTGTTTGTCAGTGAATGTGTATGCATGTTTCAGTGTATGTATGCGTGTTTCAGTGTGTCTGTCAGTGCACGTATGAGTGTCTGTCACTGAGAGTGTATGTCTGTCAGTAAATGTGTGTCTGACACAGTGTATTTATGTCTGTCAGTGAGTGTGTATGTGTGTTTGTCAGTGTGCATCTGTCAGTAAATGTGTATGCACTTCTGTCAGTTAGTGTGTATGTGTCTGTCAGGGAATGCATGTCTGTCAGTTAGTGTATACGTGTGTCTGTCGGTGAATGTAAGTGTGTGTAACTGAGAATGAGTGAGTGTGTATGTCTGTAAATGTGTATGTTTCAGTGAAAGTGTGTGTTGGTTAAACAGTGTGTGTGACAATGACTGTATCTGTAAGGTGTCAGTGCATGCATCAGTGAGAGTGTGTGTCTGTCAAGAAGAAGGGCAGCACAAAACCAGAATACACCACTGACTGTAACAATATACAAACACACAACTACATTTTCTACACATAAAACACCTGTATATTCACATACACATACTCCATACAAAAACATACTTACATTCAAACTCACAAACACTGACAAATATGACATGCAAAAATGGGCAGATTGGAGATCCCCACCTGGCAAAGCAATGTAAAGCAGTACCTTTTGGCCACGTTTGCACAAAACAATTCCTGCACCGTGTCACTCTCTACATGAGTTACACCACTGATTGAAATAATAAAGGATAAGGCTGTCAATTTGATTGGTATTATACATATGTGTAGAGCAAAGCAAAAGGATCTAAATATTTTAAGTGACCTTCTATTAGCAAACTAGTTTCTGTTTCATTTTATATTTTTCATGTTGCATGATTGTATACGTTTTAATTGTAGATGTTTCTTACATCCATAGCACTCTGTCGTTCTATGTCATCACACTTATAAATTGTAAAACTGATTGTTGCTGTACTTGCTCACCTTTGACACAGGCATGGACATGTCCATACCATTTGCCACAGCTATCACACAGTAAAGTAAATGCTGATTCTCCTTTACCCATCACATAACCATGGGAACAGACATAGAGCAGCTCATCTCCCATTTCAAATCCTGTGTGGCCATATAAGATTGTGTGAAGAAATGAAGGAGGATCACCACAAGGTTTATCTGGAGGAAAAACAGAAGCAAATAAAATATAGGCAAAATGTAAACTACTTTTTTTTCCCTGAACATATTTGTGTGAAGCAACAGGCATGATTGATGTAATCACAATTATATATTTTCTTTATAATGACCCTTATACATCAGAATATGTGTAGTTCCTAACCTCACGTGTTTGTATAGATGTGTGTTTTAATACTAAGCTTTTACATTACAATCTATCATTTGCTAATAAGCGACATATGACCATTATTTGCCCAGTGGAAAAAAAAACCCAGGGGTATGCAACCATTTAGTAGCATTGTGCCATAATAATACTTTGAAGTCCCTTAGGGTGCCAGTCCTATTTGTGTAGTAAGTTATTGTTTTTTTTTATTTTGAGTTTTGTTATTTATGTGAATATTATTTCGCTGTAGAGGGATTTAGAAAGATTGGGGGCCTGGGCACACAAATGACAGATTACATTTAATGTAGATAAATGCAAAGTTATGCACTTGAGGGTAAAGAATGCACAAGCAACTTACACTTTAAAAGACGGTACATGGTCAACTGACCATGTACACATGTGTGCTGTGGGGTTGTTCAGTGGGAGGGTTTTGCCGCACACACTGCTGGTGGGTCGCAAGGGCATCGGCAATAATCTTTGCAATAACCTCGTGGACATTTCAAACAGGAGCACTTGTCCACGAGGGCACTGTAAAGTGGGGAAACTGCAATATATAAGCGCCCTGAGGTAGCAGTTGGTGCCAAGAAGACGAGGGGTAAAGTAATTAGGACCTGTTTTCTCCCGTCTCCCTGTTTGCTCAGCTGTTTGTTTAGAAAATTAGTTTAGTTTTAATAAAATTGCAGCTATGGAACACTTACCTGAAGAAATGAAGAAGAGGGCATTCAGCAGTGGAGGTGCTGAATGGCTCATGCAGTGCTTGTTGACTGCCCCTTCCTCACAAGTTAAATCACGTCCACAGGACTTATCCATAGTGGACATTATGGAGCCTGAGGAGGAGGCTTCAAAAGGGGAAGACTCTGAGGAGGAGCCTCAAATGTCCATAAGCCTGAGTGACAGAACTATGCTTCAAGGTAGGAAGAAAAGAGTTTGTAAATCAAGAGTTATTTATTCCCCATCCACAAAGGTGACGATTGCAGGGAAATGTAAGAAGAAATCCTGTCAGTTTTCTGAAGCTGGGTAAGTACCGGTTATTGAAGATGATGGACAAGCCGGTACCTCGTCTGCTATGCCTTTGGCCGGAGCAGATAATTCCACCGGTGAGTCCTTTCCTGGGTTTTCACAGCAGGCTAAGCTAGGAGAGTCTCTGGAGTTTTTACTTCAGGCTATACAGGGTAAAGCTGGTAGTTCAGCTTCGACTTGGTTACAGGATGGGTTTGGGAAGTGGTCACATACAACTACATCTATCAATACAGTTAAGTGACCTGACGGGAATAGTACACCTGTTAATGAAGCTTGTTTAAAGAAGCGTTAGCTTGCGAACCTTCCCCACTGGGTTTTCATTTAGCAAATTCTGCTTAGTCTAGTTCCCAAGAATGAGAAAGGTACCTGCAGACTAATCCACCATGTATTCTACTCTCAAGGTGCAGCTTTGAATGATGAAGTGGATACTTTCATTATTACTGTATAATACTTCAAGTCTTTCAGGTTCCTTGCACCTCTAACGGACGAAGTTGGAACAAAGTTGCCCGAACACATCTGGGAGCTAAGTTCACCCTGATAAGCCAATTGTTGAGTCTATCGTTCTAATCAATCACATGAAAAGCATATTTGAATGCATGGGAGGAGTGCCACCGGCTTATGGTTAATCTCAATAAAGACGCTGTAACTGCGGTTACCACTATCACGTCTTAAAGCATAGAACTTAGCAGGGCTAACCATACAAATATCTTAGCCATAATTTTATATAATTAGTAAGAGATCCTCTATTTAACATATATAAATAATTGAGAATACAATATAAAATAAGGAAAGTCTTGGAAGCAATAAAGTTTTGTCTTTTAGATATTTATTATATAAAAGTATAAATATAGACATATAAAATCCATTACAATAATTTATAGCAGAGTTTACAAGATTAAACTAAATGTTTGCAAATATCATTAATAGATTAACATACCCTCCTGAACATATCATCATGTCAGCCTCTCTATCATTTTAAGATGGAGCAGCGTCTGTCTCCAAATCTCTCCTCTCTTGGTGCCTTAACATTTAAAAGAACACCTATTTATACCTTAGGTGTCTTCATTTTAGGGTTACCGTAGTTCATATATGAAAAAGTTACTTCTTTTACTTTTATTCATTTTAGGACCTCCCTTAACTTGGCAAAAATACAAGGCCATAACTAAAGTGTGTACACGTCATGGAAGATTCCCTGACTTAGGTCAAGATGGCATCTTAAAGTCGGAACATCTTCATCTACTTAGGGTTACCACAGTATATTATGTACTGAAAGAGTCGTAGCATAGCCTTGAAGCTTGTTTATGCATTATCGTTATTGTATTTTGTCTGGGACAATTATATATAGTATATTATGTGTATATATATATATATATATATATTATATAGAGTATATTAGTATATTATGCACTGAAGGTAAGTAGGAGGTTATTGCTTAAAGAAACAGTTATGAAAATCAATATGTTCCATTTCTAACACCTTGTCAGTTTGCAATATCTCTTAAAGACAAAGTACACAATTTGAGAAATACAATATTTGCATTTGCCCATAACAATGCTACTAATCCCACTATACACAGGATGCGATTCATTATTTGTTATTAATAAAATTGAGTCTGGCGCATCTAGGTTTTCACTAAACATATTGTTATTAGGCATTTTCTTTTTCCTTAAAATTCTGGGAAAGAAATCTATTTTTAAAGAATTATGTTATTCAGCAAATGTAAAGGGGCTTGGGTTAAAAAAATCACCTGTTCAAGATAAAAGGTTCCCTATAAGTTGTCCCCTACGGTTAATAATACAGTTAAGCGACCTGACAGGAATAGTACACCAGTTAAAGAAGCATTAGCTTGCGAAGCTTTACTACTGGGTTTTCATTTAGCAAATTCCATTAAAGAAAAAATATGGAATGATGAATATATTGAGATTCCCTTTTTATTGCCAGCCTCTAAGGAGTTTTTGTTAAGGCAAGAAAGAGAGAAAGACAGGAAACACCCAGTGCCCTAGTATTTTATTAATTGGCTACGGGCTTTCTGTATTTTTGCTAGCTTTTATTGCAAACATCATTTAGATAAAGCTTGTGGACTTTTTCATCATTTAAAGTCAATATTGGAGGCTTATAACATTTTTGGTGGATTGTATTGGTACAATAAGGACAAAATATTTCATCAAAAACTAACTGTGTTAGGAATTAGAGATGGGGTATGAAGGATGTGGGCTCTTGGGTAAGTATTATGTTACCGAGTAGGTTTCCACAGAATCGATATAGACCTCAGACTCAAGCTAATGTGTCGCAGTTGCATCCTAAGGGCATCTGTTGGTCATTTAATGATGCTCAGTGTAAATGGCCCAATCCTTGCAGATTTAGACATGAATGTCTGAATTGTGCTGGGAGTCACCCTTCCTTAGGTGCTTTAAGAGACAGGGTGCTGCCGTCAGGGAGCAGATTCCTAAGAGCCTGGACCCCAGTGAAAATATAAAAATCAGCTCCCTTAGTTAAAATGTTATCCGAACCAACAGATAGCGCAGCTAATTGAAGAAGGTTTTTTACACTGGTTCTAAATTCCTGTTTGTAGTTCATCAGTTCAGTTTGTTGAAAATCTTAGTTCGGTCAAGTTAAAATAAGGTGTAGTTAGAGACAATATTACTAAAGAAATCTCTTTAGGGAGAGTTGAAGGCTCTTTTTCAGTTTTACATTTTCCACACTAAGAGCCTGGACCCAGTGAAAATTAAAAAAAAATCAGCTCCCTTAGTTAAAATGTTATCCAAACCAACAGATAGCGCAGCTAATTCAAGAAAATTCTAAAAAAAACAAAATGAAAGTGTAGGTACACTAAAAACTGAAACGGGGGTGTTAATTAATGAAGACCAGGAAAAGGCAGGAATTTTAAATAACTATTTCTCCTCCGTATATATTAAGGAAGAACCCATGGCAATAGATGTGCAAATGATTGCTACTAAAAACTTGCAGAATAATTGTAATTGGTTAACTCAAGACAAGGTGCTGCAGCAACTAAAGAAAGTTAATATAAACAAAGCTCCAGGGCCTGACGGTATCCATCCACGTGTACTTAAGGAACTAAGTGCAGAAATAAGTGAACCTCTGTTTTTAAACTTTCAAGATTCTTTTCTTTCAGGAAGTGTTCCGGAGGATTGGAGGAAGGCAGATGTGGTTCCTATATTCAAAAAGGGTTCAAAATCCTTGCCTGGAAATTATAGACCTGTGAGCTTAACTTCTGTGGCTGGTAAAATATTTGAAAGTTTATTAAGGGATAATATTCAAGAATTCCTTGAGAAGAACATGGTTATCAGCAAAAATCAGCATGGTTTTATGAAGCACAGGTCATATCAAACTAACTTGATTGCGTTCTACGAAGAAGTAAGTAGAAGTATAGATCAGGGTGTTGCCGTGGATGTGATCTATTTGGATTTTGCCAAGGCATTTGATACAGTTCCACACAATAGATTAGTGTTCAAACTCAAGGAAATCGGTCTAGATGAAAATGCTTGTTCTTGGGTAGAACATTGGCTTAAAAACAGAGTACAAAGAGTTGTCATTAATGGTAAATTTTCAAGCTGGACAGAGGTGGCAAGTGGTGTCCCTCAGGGGTCTGTTCTGGGACCCCTTCTATTTAACATGTTTATAAATGATCTTGAAGACCGCATTGAAAGTCATGTTTCAGTGTTTGCAGATGACACCAAACTTTGTAAAACAATACAATGTGAGCAAGATATTACTTTGCTGCAGAGGGATTTAGATAGACTGGGGGACTGGGCACTCAAATGGCAGATGAAATTTAATGTTGAAAAATGCAAAGTTATGCACTTCGGCGTAAAGAATACACAAGCAACGTATACCCTTAATGGAAGCGAATTAGGGATAATTCTAAGGCCAGTAAGGTATTGTTATATATAAAAAGGGGCATTAATTCTCCGGGTGAAATTCCATTCTTTCAGAATTGTAAACAGGTATTAGGCTGCAATGGCTTACCCATTTCAATGCATCCTCAAAAGAAGTGTATGACACAGAAATAATGGAAGTATCCACTTCCATCATTAAAAGATGCACCTTGAGAGTAGAATAAATGGTGGATACCTGCACTGTATGGAAAATGTGAAACTGAAAAAGGGCCTTCAACTCTCCCTAAAAATATTTCTTTAGTAATCTTGTCTCTAACTACACCTTATTTTAACTTGACTGAACTAAGATTTTCAACAAACTGAACTGATGAACTACAAACAGGAATTTAGAACCAGTGTAAAAACCCTTCTTAGTCACAGTCACATAGTTACATAGCTGAAAAGAGACATGTGTCCATCAAGTTCAGCCTTCTTCACATATGTTTTTGCTGTTGATCCAAAAGAAGGCAAAAAACCCAGTCTGAAGCGCTTCCAATTTTGCAACAAACTAGGAAATCCATTCCTTCTTGACCCCAAAATGGCAGTCAGATATCTCCTTGGATCAAGCAGCTATTACCCCACTAATTAGAAATTATATCTCTGTATGTTATGTTTTTGTAAGTTACATAGTTACATAGTTACATAGCTGAAAAGAGACTTGCGTCCATCAAGTTCAGCCTACCTCACATTTGTTTTTTGCTGTTGATCCAAAAGAAGGCAAAAAAAACCCAGTTTGAAGCACAATTTTGCAACAAGCTAGGAAAAAATTCCTTCTTGACCCCAGAATGGCAGTCAGATTTATCCTTGGATCAAGCAGTTATTACCCTACATTGAAAGATTATATCCTTGAATATTCTGTTCTTGCAAGTATGCATCTAGTAGCCGTTTGAACATCTGTATGGACTCTGATAAAACCACTTCCACAGGCAGAGAATTCCACATCCTGATTGTTCTTACAGTAAAAAAACCTTTCCTTTGCCTTAGACGAAATCTTCTTTCTTCCAGTCTAAACTCATGGCCTCGTGTCCTATGTAAAGTCCGGTTTGTGAATAGATTTCCACACAATGGTTTGTATTGGCCCCGAATATATTTGTATAATGTTATCATATCCCCTCTCAGGCGACGTTTTTCTAAACTAAATAGGTTTAAATTTGTTAACCTTTCTTCATAGCCGATATGTTCCATTCCTTTTATTAATTTTGTAGCCCGCCTCTGCACTTTTTCTAGTGCCATAATATCCTTCTTTAGAACAGGTGCCCAAAATTGCACAGCATATTCAATATGGGGTCTTACCAGTGATTTATAAAGAGGCAAAATTATATTCTTGTCCCAAGAATGAATGCCCTTTTTCATGCATGACAATACCTTACTGGCCTTGGCCACTGCTGATTGACATTGCACATTGGTGCATAGTTTGTTGTCTATAACAATTCCCAAGTCCTTTTCATGTGTTGTTATCCCTAATTCGCTTCCATTAAGGGTATACGTTGCTTGTGTATTCTTTACGCCAAAGTGCATAACTTTGCATTTTTCAACATTGTGAATAAGCATGATGGGAGTTGTCCTCCATATAATTAGTAGCTTGAAGCAGTGAAGATTTAGTAAGCAAGCATTAGTTCATTATTAAATGATATTGTAGACAAATAGCTGAAAGATATACTTAAGGTTAATGTGAGTAGTCCTCCAATAGTTCAGAGGCATGGTCCACTTGTAAAGTAAGTTTCTGTTCTCTAGTAATCCTCTATGGCATGAAGTATACTTTTCTTAGCCCAGAAGGCCAGGACGACATCAGAGCTTGTAGAGCCGGCGTGTCCCAGGAGCTGGCGTGCATACTCGGAAGTAGGACCCACATTGCCAGAGCCTGTGAAGAGGTAAGTCTGGCGGAAGTAGCTCCCAGTAGCTGAGCCTATGGAGCCCGCGGTCTTGCATAGGTAGCTCACACATTAGCTCACACACCAAGCACCCTCTCTCTGGCGCGGTCTCCCTCAATACCGTCAGAGCCACGTCAGAGGGGGGCGGGGTCCAGCTCCGCACAGCGGAGTGCCGAACCCGGAAGTGTTACCGCATGACACATGCCTATTCTAAAGGGGGGTGGACTTGATAAGTTTGGTTATAGATTTGCTTAAATTCTGGCTAATAGGGCAGAACGCTGGTATGTCATTTGTTAAATCTCTGGGGGTTTAAAGACCGGAGATGTTTGGCTTCAAGTTATATATTTTAAAGTGAAAAAGTTATGTTTTGTAATATTTTGTAAACTAAATAAAAGATCACGGCCTTTTTCATCACATACTTGAGTCTGTGTTTTTATTATTACGTTCATTCTGTGTTTTATGTGCATACATAATTTTGTTTATATTACGTGTATGTTAGAATTAACCACTGCAGTGCACATCGTAGTGAGTTAGGGATAACAACACTTGAGAAGGATTTGGGAATTGTTATAGACAACACACTAGGCAACAACGTGCAATGTCAATCAGCAGTGGCTAAGGCCAGTAAGGTATTGTTATATATAAAAAGGGGCATTAATTCTCCGGGTGAAAATATAATTTTGCCTTTTTAGAAATCACTGGACTCTATTTAGGGGTAATTATTACAGATGATTTAAAGGTAGGTAGACAATGTAATAGAGCAGCAGGAAATGTTAGCTGAATGCTTGGTTGTATAGGGAGAGGTATTAGCAGTAGAAAGAGGGAAGTGCTCATGCCATTGTACAGAACACTGGTGAGACCTCACTTGGAGTATTGCATGCAGTACTGTAGACCGTATCTCAAGAAGGATATTGATACTTTAGAGAGAGTTCGGAGAAGGTCTACTAAACTGGTTCATGACATTTAAATACATATAGGGGGATCAACACAGTAAAGGAGGAGACTATATTTAAAAGAAGAAAAACTAACACAACAAGGGGAAAAAGATTGACAACCAACTGTAACTTCAAACTAAAAGAAATTGGTCTAGATGATTATTCTTGTTCTTGGGTAGAACATTGGCTTAAGGATAGAGTACAACAAGTTTTCAGGCTGGACAAAAGTTGTAAGTGGTGTCCCTCAGGGTTCTGTTTTGGGGCCGCTTCTATTTAACATTTATAAATGATCTTGAAATAGGCATTGAAAGCCATGTTTCAGTGTTTGCAGATGACACAAAACTTTTGAAAGTAATAAAATGTAAGCAGGATATTGCGTTGCTGCAGAGGGATTTAGATAGATTGGGGGACTGGGCAATAAAATGGCAGATGAAATTTGGGAATTGTCATAGACAACAAATTAGGCAGCAATATGCAATGTCAATCTGCAGTTGCTAAGGCCAGTAAGGGTTTGTCATGTCTAAATAGGGACATAAATTCTCGGGATGAAAATATAATTTTGCCTCTTTATAACTCGCTAGTAAGACCACACCTTGAATATGCTGTGCAATTTTAAGCACCTGTTCTAAAGAAGGATATCATGGTACAAGAAAAAGTGCAGACATGAGCTACAAATTGATAAAAGGAATAGAGCATTTTAGTTACGCAGAAAGGTTAAAAAAATGTAAATCTCTAGTTTGTTAAAACGGCACCTCAGAGGGGATATGATAACAAATATATTTGGGGCCAGTACAAACCATTATCTTGAAATCTATTCATAAACAGGGCTATACATAGGACACAAGGTCACACATTTAGGCTGTGTGACAGATCCATCTGTATAGACTAGGATTGCTGGATTCGTCTGTTTTGCCGTTTGCATGAATTTACCCGTTTGTATGCCTTTGTTTTAGTGAATGTACTTTTCTGCCAAACGGAACTGTCGAACGGACGGCCACCCAGAAGAGAAGTGTGCTGCTGGTCAACCTATTGATCCCAATTAGAACGTTGCGGTTAACCACAGACACTTCTCAATTAAAACCGAATACAGGGTGGTCTTCGTTCGTATGTCGACCACGAGGCGGTGGCCATTTTAACCATGCGAAAGACCAGCGGTGTTCGACGGTTATTTCATGGAACTGAAAACGGACACTTTTTCAACCGAACACCGCTGAAGCCGTCGACCTCCCTTCTCAATCGACAGAAGTGTGCGAACAACGGCCGTTCGGGAGGTTTAAAGGCACGAATGGACTTACCCCAGATAGCCTTCCCATGGAGTCAATCACATACCGAAGAACTATAATAGACTTTTACTCCATGGCGATTGAACTATGCGTATGGGATCTGAGCGCTATTCGCCAATAATATGCACTCAGATCCAGGCTATCTGGGGATATGTGATACGAATGGGTAGCATTCGACAAATGTAAAGTTATATATTTTTATGTGTTTTTATGTGTTTAATGTAAAATGGCGATTTGCCTCTGTCCTGGAGATAATTACTTCTCAATTATCTCCAGGGCAGAGGGGAGGAATTACTATTGCATGCTGGGAATATTTTGTGTCTGTGGGTCCTGAACTGCCATATGTCTATCTGTTGTCACAGTCTCCCATTTGGTCCCCTAGGGGAGTGTCCACCAAGTGGGAGACCTGCATAAATACAGTTCTTGTTTTACCCTTAATGCGGAGCTTGGTCTCGTTATTGGGGGGATTTATTACCGACGACTAGAGACTGCTGGATGGGATTATTAGCCGCTTGGGGGATACCTGCATTCGGCTGCTATTGGCGATTCGTGAGTTTGGAGCTTATGAAGTGAAGTGCCCGTACGGATCCCGTTCGTGAGTTTTACAGCATTCCCTTGCTTGCGGTTCGTATGATTGTATTGGATATACATGCAGCCTGGGTTATTGCGAACTGGGAGCGTTCACTAAATGGCGGTCTGGGAATTTCATGCTGAGGGTACCGTAACAACTGGTGGCAAGCAACGGGATGACCCTCATCGCCCAGAGAGACCACTACAACCAGGATTAAATGGATGTACAATACCAAAGGCTGAAAAGAGCTACCCTGAAAGATTTATTGGAGCAGAGAGGCGGACAAGCCAGTAATCTTAGAAAGAGGGAGATTATTGCACTACTGACTGAAATGGATAGAGTACCAGAGGCAGAGGGAACCAATGGGCTCAGCGCAGCTGACAGAACCCCCGAGGAGGCAAGCTTTGACCGAGCGGTAAGAATCAAGCTGGCCCATTATGGTCCCAACCCGACCATAGAGACCACTGACCGGGTCATGGCCGCTGTGGAGGCCAACCTGCTACGCCAAAGCAGTGCTGCAGCAGCCCCAGTTACAGCAAACCCGGGGGAAAGAAAGAAAGTGCCATTCACAGCATTTAAACCATTTGTGGAGGCAGAAGGAGAGATTGATGGGTACATTGCTGATTTTGAGCGGCAATGTGCCCTGCACAAGGTACCCCTGGAGGACTGGGCTACTATATTGTCCGGCAAGTTATCCGGCTGGGCCAGTGATGCTTTTCGGGCCATTCCTGATGAGGAGATCGGGGATTATGGGGCCATCAAGGAAGCTTTGCTCGCCCGGTATGCCGTTACACAGGAGGCATACAGGAGGCGATTCAGAGACACTGTTAAATCAGCTGGGGACTCTTATGTGGAATGGACATGCAAAGTGCACCGCACAGCTGCCCACTGGATGGCGGGGTGCCAAGCTGTATCCGGGGAAGAGGTGCTGCAAATGTTCCTGTTGGAGCACTGCTTTGAGAAATTGTCCCCAGGCGTCAGAGAGTGGGTAAGTGACCGTAAACCCTCCACTCTATATGAAGCAGCTCGCCTGGCGGACGAGTATACGGATGCCCGTAAACTGGACAGTGCTATTGGTAAGACTCCTGCCAGAGTGGAATACCGACCAGCAGCACCTTCAGCAGCTACCGTATACCAACCACCGACGAACCGGCCGTCAGCACCCCCTCCATCTAACCAGTATCAGCAGCCGCCCCGGTTCAACTCACGGGACTACATCCAACCCATTAGATGCTTTTTGTGCAAGCAGCTAGGGCACAAGAGACCGGAGTGCCCGTTGAACAGTGCTAACCAGGCCCAGTCTTGGAGGAGACCAGCCAGCGGGAATACACGACCCCCTCCCCCGGCTGCTCACTGCGTAGAGGAAGAGGAATGCTGAGGCATCCTGCATGAGGCAGACCCTGTACAAGCTGCTCACCAGGATAACCGACAGCACCACCGGCAATTTGTCAAGGTCAACGGGAAGGAGGTCAGTGGGCTGAGGGATACCGGTGCTACCATGACACTACTTCAGAAGCACTTGGTGTCCGAGACCCAACATACTGGAGACACGGTAGCAGTGCGAGTAGCCGGAGGCGCTGTGTTTCACCTACCCGTTGCCCGGGTACATTTGGATTGGGGAGTGGGCGCTAGACATGTGAATGTGGGGGTCATGAAGGACTTACCAGCGGATGTCCTCCTTGGCAATGACTTGGCGCCCCTTGTGTCAGCCTTCGCTCCCATGGATCCCGCTGAAGTGGACGCTGTTACGACCCGTGCCCAGACCCGTGCCACCGAGACCGGCCCACCTGCTGCTGAGACCCAGGTAAGACTCTCTACCCCGACTTGTACCTTAGACCAGGCCCCTTTAGGCTGGGATACCCCAGAGATGTACGGGAGGGAAACCCGGGAAGACCCGACTTTAGAAAAGTATAGGGCCATGGCAGATACTGGGGTAGAGGGAGTTGATGGGGAGCGTTACGAGTGGGAAGAGGATAGGCTATACAGGATCCCTAAACCGTCCTAGAAAAAGAATACCCCTCTGCAGAATCGGCAGCTGGTGGTGCCTGCGAAATACCGGCAAGAGATTCTGCAGATCGGGCATGATGTGCCATTAGCAGGCCATCTAGGTTCCCACCGCACAGCTCATAGGATCACCCAAAATTTCTTCTGGCCTAATTTTAACCGAGATGTGCGGGTTTATTGTAGCACGTGTGACACATGTCAACGGGTAGGTAAACGGGGGGATCATCCAAAAGCTAGGCTCATATCGATGCCTATTGTTGGAGAACCCTTTTCCCGCATAGCCGTTGACATTGTGAGTCCACTGGCCAGGGCTAGCCCATCCGGGAAGAAGTATATTCTCACCGTGGTGGACTATGCCACACGTTATCCAGAGGCAGTAGCGCTGTCTAATATAGAGGCAGAGACGGTTGCTGATGCCCTGGTTAAAATTTTCACTAGGGTCGGGTTCCCTCAGGAGATCCTCTCTGACCAGGGAACCCAGTTTACCGCTGTGCTTACCCAGCAGCTGTGGAAGGTGTGCGGCATTAAACCGCTGCTTAGCATTGTGATGAAAATCCAGCAAATAATGGAAATACTAATAACTACGTGAAACCGGACATTGTCTTACTGTCAGCCGTCTTGCTACTATCAGCCATTTTATTGAAAACAACTTATGCTGTACAAACTGGTTTTATTTTTTGTAAAAAAAATTACAAATACTTTTTCTTTTTTGTGAACTGTAACAGTTATTTTATTTTTGTAGAGTTCTCAATACAAGTCAGGTTGTTGGTGTATGTGGTTTATAAACCATCTCAATTGTTCGCATTTTGGTCTGTGTAGAAATGTGTCTGGGGCACAGAAAGTCACAAAAAAGTTGAATCTGTTAGACATTGTATGAAGTAGCTAAACTCTATTGTCACAATGCAATGTTTACCAACAGAACTACTTCTGTTTTGCCAGGTTGGAAAAAAATAAAAATAAAAGATATTTCATGGGAATAGAATGTTTCACACATAGATATGTAGCCAAGGATAGCCAGGATGTGAGAAACAAACACCTGCATAACAAGACCAGATAAAAGATGCTCACAACACATACCTTTATTCCCATTATCTTTTATTAAATGTGTACTTTTCAAATATATATAAAAAAAATGCTATAAAAGTATATTACTCATAGGCACAAATATATAACTTTAGTACTATACTGACTAGATATTAGTTTGTTGATATATTAAATATGGGAAATTAAACTAACAATTATACAAGCATTATTAATCCCTATTCTTATAATTCCTTATTCATATAATTGATAAGGGTTTGTATAAGATTTTCGTTTTATTTTACAAAAAACAGCAGTATGCATGATTCATTTCTAAACACGTGTCCGATAATAAGTGGAAAATATTTGAAATGTTATTGCCGTATAATTGTGGAAATTACATTTATTCTCAACTAGAGTAGAGTATCTTCAGGGGGTTCAATAGAATGGTGAATTTAGTAGTAAAGTAGTTGTGGCTTAATATATGAACATCTGGTAATTGTCATAATTATAGCCCCATAATATCAAATTTTTGATATTTTTTATAAATTATTATTTTTACCTCATAATTAATACCGCACCATCATTTATGGAATCTGAACATGTGCCTTCAGGAAACAAACATGCAAACACCTTCCTCTCCATACCTGGTGAAAATATATAAATATATTTTAATATTCCTACAGTAAGTGTTATTACATACCTAGAGTAATATTTTAACCCCTTAAGGACACATGACATGTGTGACATGTGTGACATGTCATGATTCCCTTTTATTCCAGAAGTTTGGTCTTTAAGGGGCTAAACTAGTACGCTATTTTAACTGGCAAAAACACACCTTGAATATGATGTGCAATTGGGAACCTATTCTAATGAAGGATAATATGGCACTAGAAAAAATGCAGAGGCAGGCTAGAAAAAAAAAAAAAGAAATGGTACATTTTAGTTATGAAGAAAGGTTAACAAATTTAAATCTATTTAGTTTAGAGGGGATATTATAGCATTATACAAATATATTCTAGGCCAACAAAACAAAACACACAATATAGGTAGATCCTAAGATGAAAAGCTGCCACTCAATAGGCACACTCCAAAGAAGCCTATATATACAAAATCTAAAACAAAAAATGTTGGTTAGGGACAAACCAAACCAACAAAGGAGGGCGCTAGAAATCTAGACAAAAAACAAGATATAACAAATATGGGAATCAGATCAATATATAAACGACATGATTTATTGTTAAAAACGTATAAAACAGTACAATTGCAAGACCAGGATTTAAAATCTGGCACCAACCAGTGGTAGATATTTCTTAATGTACAAACAAAAGCCCTACTGGTCGCGACTCCTGAGGGCTAAGGGATACCATCTAATGTGGACACCGTGGTGGTAATCAGGTCTCTGTACTGCAATGTGGCAGCTCTGGTCTATAAAAAGACACTTGTGGCTCTCAGGCCTAGCTCTCTTGCTTTATCCCAGGGCTAGAGGGATCCTGCAACCAGCAAACAGGTCCAAACACTCTGTCAATGGGATCCCTACAAATCCACACCAGACACAAGTTTCAAAACGAACTGACATACAAAACAGCCCTATCAGTTAGGGGCTTTAAATACAATAACCTGAAGGGAACCTATTGTCACCTTTAGGCCCCACCCTTTGTCTGCAAGTGGGGGGCTCTAAATATAATAACCTGGGGAGCCCTATTGCCCCCCAGTCCCCAACCATTTACACTTACTAATCCCACAATGAGTGATGAGGCAACATAGCAGGTTATCGCCATGCACATCAGCAGCTTTAGTATTCACAGCAGCAGATGGTTAAAGGGGCACTCCACTGCCCAAATACAAAATACATAAAGGCACTGTTTAGTAGATATACCTCAAATTAAAACTTGCATGCATTTAATTACTTACCTTTTTCCAGCGCTGGGCGGAGAGCTCTCCTCCTCCGATCCTCCTCTTCTCCTCCCCGTCGGCTGAATGAGCACGCGTGGCAAGAGCTGCGCGCGCATTTAGCCGGTCACATAGGAAAGCATTATCAATGATTTTCACAGTGAGAAGCACGCAAGCGCCTCTAGCGGCTGTCAATGAGACAGCCACTAGAGGAAATAGGGGAAGGCTTAACCCATTCATAAACGTAGCAGTTTCTCTGAAACTGCTACGTTTATGAAAAAATGGGTTAACCCTAGCTGGACCTGGCACCCAGACCACTTCATTAAGCTGAAGTGGTCTGGGTGCCTAGAGTGGTCCTTTAATGAGAAGTCTTTGCAAGGCAGGTGCTGTGAGCAATTACCTACCTCTTGAGATAAGCTCCACTGAGTTAACCAAACCAGGAAGTAAAATGAACTGTTGTCTGCTTGAAAGCCAGTGGGTGTAACCAGGTTAATTTAGGAATGTGTCAGTTTCTACTGAAATCTGCACTTTTTGCAAAAATAAAAAATAGGACACACTATTCAAAGATAAATATTTACAGCAAACAAAAGTGCTTTCTGGGGTCTGGAGTCTCCCTTTAACAATGTGAGAGGAGCTCAAGCATTTTGTCTTGAGAGTAGACCTTAAAATACATTTATATTCATGGCACTGAGTGCATAGTTCAGTTCCCATTTAATTATCGAGTAAGTGACACTTACCTGTCAGTGGGGCCAGTGCAATATTTAGCATTTTGCTGCCCCCCACCCCACTCCAAAAAATAAATTTAAAAAAAATGCATATTCACCTGTGTATCTCATAACCCTCTTTAGTGTGTCTTACACCCCATTGTGTGTCTCTTAATCCCATGTGTATCTCTTACGTCCACCAGCCTCTTTGTTTGTCTCTTTCTTTTTTCAAGCCACACAGACACACACTGAGACATACAGTGGAATCCATCTATACAGCAGAATCAAACTAAGTAGTTTTTTGGTGATTTTAAAGCATTTTCTCTTATGTCACTCCTTGTGATTTACATCATGTGATGTCACCCATACATATTTAATTATGCAAATTAGTAAGGCCGGTATGTTTTTCCAAGAAAGGTGGCAACCCTAACTACTTTTCACATACTCTTACTTAAGTATGGAAACTTAAGAGGGATGTAGGGGAACAAAACTTGTGTGGACTGGCTGACAATGAATATAGTTAAAGGGACACTATGGTCACAAGAACAACTACAGCTTATTGAATTTGTTCTGGTGAGTAGAATCATTACCGTCAGGCTTTTTGCTGTAAACACTGTCTTTTCAGAGAAAATGCAGTCTTTACATTACAGCCTATTGATAACTCCTTAGATGGCTGTTAGAGATCCTTCCTGGGTCATGGCTACCTAAAATGCATCCAAACATTCAGTGTCTCTTCCCTCTGCATGCAGACACTGAACTTTCCTCATAGAGATTCATTGATTCAATTCATCTCTTTGAGGAGATGCTAATTGGCCAAGGCTGTGTTTGAATCATGCTGGCTCTGACCCTGATCTGCCTCTTTGTCAGTCTCAGCCAATCCTATGGGGAAGCACTGTGATTGGATCAGGCCACAACTTCTAATGATGTCAGCAGACTGCTTGTTTTTATGAGTCTAACAGCATGCAGAGTTACAGCTTCAGGCTTGAATATAGTAAGATTTTGCTATATTTATGGAGGCATGAGGGGCCAAGATGGTGGTGTTAACACTATAGGGTCATGAATTCATTTTTTGTGTTCCTGACCCTATAGTGATCCTTTAAGGTAATGCTGATTTTGGTCTCTCCAACACTGTGGCATGTTCCCTTTCTTCTACACTCACTACATACAGCTTTTCTCTGTCCCAGACTATATACCAGGAGCTTCTGCCTGCTAGTAAGAAGGTAAGGAGACAAGTGGACCAGCGAGTGCTAGGGGATAGTCCTTAGAAAGCGTTGAGCGAGTGCATCATTAGATGCATTTATGCCAAGCTCAGGGTGCTGTCTGCATAGTATGCCCTTAGTTGGCCAGCTGCATAATTGGCATGCAGTCTGACATGCATTCATGCCAGGCTGGCCTTCAAATTCTTTGGGCAGACATGTCCTCTTTTTGGGCATGTTCGCCCCTTTTGGTAGGTTATGTGATTTGTGTCAGTGGCACACCCTTTTACCATGCCCATTGACTTCCTGCTTGACTGGACACTGCTGTTAGGGGTTATGGATTTACTTGAAAGATGAAAACATAAATTAGAGAGAGATTAGCCTAGGGTAGGTGTTTTCTTATAGCTGCTGTTTTCTTTCTCTCCAGCACCATCTCCATCAGATACATGACGCTTGGAAGTCTTTTACTGTTTTTGGTCGATAAGATTCTGTAATTAGGCCCGTCATAATTGTCAGCACCAGGCCCACTGGGCTCTTAATCTGGCCCTGGTGCAGGGGATGTGGTGGGACCATGGGGGCTTAGATGGGGACACAGGGGTTGTAGAGGTGGTACAGGGGCTGAGAGATGGCTAAGACCACCTTATCCCTGGTCATCATGAACTATAGAGAGGGGCACAGGGGCTGGCGAGCAGGCCCTGTCTTCGAAAGTTTGATGTTAAACCAATTGTTAATGGTTTATTACCTTAAGGTAAGATTGCACCCAGGATTTCCTGGAACCATGGCATGAGTATGAAGGAATTACATATGTGTTTTAGTTTATTCATCTCCTCTTATTTTATTATATTGTACTTGTACAATAATGTAATGCTACAATAATTAATAAACTAGGATTAAAGATGCCCATTTTAACTTTATTATTATTATTATTGCCATTTATATAGCGCCAACAGATTCCGTAGCGCTTTACAATATTATGAGAGGGGATTTAACTATAACTAGGACAATTACAAATAAACTTACAGGAACAGTAGGTTGAAGAGGACCCTGCTCAATCGATCATTATATCCTGTGACCACAAAGTGAATTGCTGAATTGTCTTACCTTCATCTTTAACACAGAAAGCATTAAACTGCTCTTCTTCCGTAATGGGTCTGTCAACTTTCACATCAACAACTTTTATTCTACTTTCATGTACACTTTCCATTGTGCTACATAAAATAGTCCTGTAAAGAGAAAACTTTTAAGTAGCTTATAAAGTGCAGTCTTTATTAGATCAGGAGTAGAGAATGCTTCCAAATATTTTATATAGTGCTGTCCTTACAGAAAAGTCATCATTTTAACCTCCTAAACTACACTATCACTGCATTAAGGGGTTTAACCCAAGCACCATGATCACTTCAGTGGTTTACAGTGCTCATTGTGCTTGGAGTATGTATGTGCCACATTTTGCTATAAACACACTGCACATACTGAGTTTAACCCCTTTGCTGCTGGAAATGTAACTCCACCTACCACAGCATTATTGGGGCATCATTCGCCAGCCCGGAACAAAAGGGCAAATGTATGAGTGTGGGTATAGATGCTTGTGATTGGTTGTGTATGAATGTGTGGGTGGGATTATGTGGTGTGTGAGTTTGGTGGGGGGTGGTCTTACCTCAGTGCCACTTGGGATTTGGGCTAGCAAACAGCTTCCCTCCCGCCCGCCCCATGGGTTTTGTTTCGTCACAGCTAGCCAGGAGTATGTCCTTGCCAATTAAGTTTGAGGTGGTTAGGTTAATTATCTGGAATGAAATGAGCAAGTTTCAGGTCTTAACCTGTCCTGCTCTAAAGGGTTAACCTTAGGTTACCTGTTATGACGTGCCCACCGAGCAAGGAAAAGGTCGGCTGGTGGTAAGCATTGGAAGGAAAATGAATTTATGCCTAGGGGGAGGTGAGAGGAAGTGGTACATAGGCGCATGGTGAGTTTATTAGCAAGGACGTTTAGGATACACTGTATGACACCATGTGTTAAGTTATATATTAAGTTATGGTAATTTATGTTTTGACGTTTTGGTTATATCAAATAAAAGAGAATATTAAAATAAATTATGGATGTGTTATACAGTAATTATCATATGTTATAATAAATGCTGTGGCCTGTTTCATCCATACTACGTTGTCTGTCATTATTTGGTAGGTGAATTGGGTTAGTTTATGTTATTATGCTGCATCACGATTCCCCACTATGTACATACATGAATACACTAATGTCTATTATGCCAACTATCTATGCCAACCTCTTTATAACAGATTGGGAAGATTATGTCATTTGGGGCAGGCAATGCTAGGTTACAAAACTTGGTCCTATATTGTAAATATATCAACAATCTTTTTTTCATTTGGAATGGCCCAGAGACTTTTAAAGACTTTTCAGAATTTTTAAAATGAAAATACTAGAGGAATAAAATTAACCTTTGATTTTAATAAGAACATTACAAATTTTTAGACCTTGATATTTATAAAGAGAATTAAGTTATTAACACTCAAACCTTTTTTAAAACATAAACACTAACACTTTTATAGACCTCACTAGTTGTCATTATACTCCCTGGTTAAACAGTATCCCTAAGAGAACAAAAATAATGTATAAATTGATCCCTAAAGAGGTTCAATAAAGGGTCATGTTGGGAAGCTTGCAAGGGCATAAGCCACAGAGCATTGGAGAATAATAACTAATTCCAAAGAACCCCTTCTAAAAGAGAAAAAATGGAAATGAGCAAGTCCCAAAAAATGATAAGGAAAGTTTATTCAAAAATTGGCCATCAGAGCGTTGCCACGGGTTACCATGGCAACGCTCAATGCGACATGCTGGCCACAAGAGTTAGACAGGGGAGCTGCTGGGAAGGACAGTAAGAGTGTTGCTCGGCCCTCTCTGCATAGTCCATGCCACCGGACCACCAGGGAATGCAATCTCCCCCCTCCCTGGCCAGGTAAGACGCAGGGAGGTGGGACTAAAATAAAATGTTAAAAAATGTAATATAAAAAAAAAAAAATTAAATAAAAATGCCCACCCCCATTTTACACACATTACATACCTACACAAATACTCACTGCATTTACTATATAGACTACACAAACACACACACTCTCTCTGCATTCACTATATACACACACTACACAAACACACTGCATTCACTTTACACAAACTATACACACACTGCATTCACTTTACACACACTACCCATACACACTGCATTCACTTTACACACATACACACACAATCTGCATTCATTATATACACACTACACTAACACACTGCATTCACTATACACACACTCCACACACACTGCATTTACAATACACACACTGCATTCACTTTACACACACTACAAAAACACACTCTCTGCATTCACTATACACACACTGCACAAACACACACACTCTGCATTCATTATATACACACTACACAAACACTCATTTCATTCACTATACACACTACGCAAACACACACACTCTGCATTAATTATATACACACTACACAAACACACACACTGTATTCACTATACACACACTACACAAACACACAAGCTGCATCCACTACACAAACACACACACACTGCATTCACTAATCAAATACTCTTACTGCATCCACTACAAACACATATATTCTTGAAAACATAAAAAATTCTGACTAGCATGTATATTTTGTGCATTTACTTTAATAAAAAAAAGATTTGCAAATAAATAAATAATAAACATGTTCAGTTAACAGTAGATTTGTGTAGAAATAGTTTCTTTTTTCAAAACGGTAAATGTACAGAATATCGGTATTGGTAAGTTACTGGCTATCGGCCCGAAAGTTCACAGATTATCGTTATCAGCTCTAAAAAATCAATATAGGTCAATCCCTACTCACTGGGAGTCAAAATATTCATCTGTCTTGATATAATGGTACTTGAGGTAAGTATGTATTAATCGAGTCTCTGTGACACTAACAGTTATAGTGATTAGGTATAATACATATGTCTACATAAACCCAGGAGATTTGTGGGAATGGGTAAAACAAACCAAACCCCACCCACAACTAACTAATGAAAAAAGAAGAACATTTATTTGTAAAGGATAACTTATGCCGAATGCTAAAATGATATCTTGCAAAGCATATAGCCTCCTAATACCATAGGCTAGGTCTCCAATATGAGGATGTATCTGAGAGTGCTCCCATGACTTAACCACTTATTTGCCTTGTATTGCTCAAGGCTCTCCTATCAATGGTTAAAAAGAGCTAGCTTTCTGATTACAAATCCCCCCAAATTATATAGCTAGAGACTCCTACAGACAAATTACTACTCACATACCATGAAAAATAAAAACAACTAAGCTACCCGGTGTGCATTTTGGTGCCTGTGTGTGCTTTCATCTGGGGCTCAGGATTGAATAGATATCACTGGGGTTTATAAAGCAAATATAATAAGCAAACTCCACCCTTAGAAAGCCTTAGTGGTCATGTTCTTCATTCATAGAAGGTGTCTTCCCATTACCTATCACACTGGACATTTCTATATGAAAAGACAAGTCCTGATAGGAGACTTTGTAAGCCTACATATTTAAGTGCCCAGCTTGCTAATGCTCTATCTGCTGAAACTCAGATGCAGCAGTGGGTAAAGGCAGTAGAATGGATGTACGAATATAATTAGCATAAATCCCTTTTCATGTGTCACCTACCATGTTCACAATCCTCGATGATTCCACGGTGTTCACAATCCTTAATAAACTGATATTATACACTTATCTAGATACATCAATAAAATACTCTAATGCTATTCATTTGGCAAATACAATCCACATGCATCACCTTTCATGTGTCGCCCACTATATTCATTCATAGCAAATAATCTGCCTTTATTTAAATGTATCAGTAAGATACCATAATGCCATTAAATTGGCAGAATGTCTAGGGCATTACAGATATCCAAATGGTGCATATACCTTGCTCCTCAGACTCCGGTTCAGCTCTACGGTACTCCAACCCCCATGATCAGCGGGGGATATCCTGGTCACCACTGGACAAACTGCTGCTGACTACCTTGCCTACAGTGTGCTCCATGCTGCAAACTACCAATGCACTGTGATGAGCAATCAAGATGGCGACTGCCCCACCATCAGACATGCGAGGCCTACATGCGCCCCAGAGGCCACACAGCATTTCCATAGAACTTATCCTGCAGCGCTTGGATGCGATATTCCAAAACTTCTGGTTGAGAATCAGGGAATGTACCCAAGCTACTGTGGCAGAGCGGCGGAGGTTCGCAGACAGCAACAAGCCCCGAAACAGAAGGTACTTCGTCCAGGCAATATTGCCAAGCAAAAAATGAATGCACCAATATAAAAATTAAGATTTTAGTTACACTAAAGGTAGTATAATTTACAATGTTATAGCATGACAGGAGGCTTCATATTTGCTGTTTTAACGCTCAGACAGCAAAGCAAAGGAAGCATGATCCGACAGTCTAAAATAAAACTGGCGCCAGGTATCTTCTCGAGACCAGTCAGCTGAACGCATGATTAAATAAAATAATAGGGGTCCAGGCACTCCTTGGTTCAAGACAGGCACTTTATTGAGAACCACAACAACAATAAAGTGCCTGTCTTGAACCAAGGAGTGCCTGGACCCCTATTATTTTACTAATGTTTGTAAATCTGGTGTTTGATTCTGGCTCAGCAAGCACCCTGGCTCAGATTTGTGGGAGTGAGTGCAGTTCAACATATACTATTCAAGCTGAACGCATGATGTCCTGGAGAGAAGCGCCCGCCATGAAGGCTTCAGCAGCCGCCGCGCCCGTAACCGAATGTGCTCCAAAGGTCTAATACACCCCCGCCAATGCCATCAACCATTAAATCCATCGCACCAGAGTAGGGGACAAGACCAGTTTGTGAGGTCAATAACTGGCTTGAATGAGAAAAGTGAAGAGGAGTGGTAATCGCCACATAATGAGACAGTGTCGTCGCAACACAGAGCTTAGGTGAGTCGCGGAAATATGGGTAAAAAATAGTAGTTGAATCCGATTTAGTACGTCTAGACACCCTGAAGGTGACCCCTTCCGGGGAGAAAGAAAAGGCGTTGACATCGATGGCCCGGACATCAGAAACGCGTCTGAAAGAAATAAGGCCAAGCGCAGGTGGCCGTCCATCACGAGGGGATGAGGATTGCCCTGGGAGTCCGAG